AATGGCTGATTGGAGTTAGAAGGAGATGATGGCTACGTGCTGTAAGAGGGAGAGGGAAATTATATTTAGCAATTTAAAGGTAATGGTAGCAATTTTTGATTTAAAGGACAGTGCACCCAATTGTGATCTGAAAACCAACCTCAAAAGAGACACAGAAATACAAACATTCATATGTGTGAACAAAGCCATTATGAAATGTGAGTTTTATACCCTCTCTAAAGCTACTTTCAGTGAAGTGGCTCAATATGCTAATGGGAGGCTTGAGTCTGATCTGTTGGAGTAAATGTCAAGTGCTAATGTTTTAGTTTTATCAGGAGCTGTTCCTGTGAAGATTCAAGTCACGGTTTGAATATTACAGTGCAATCCATCACATACTCTCCTCATGCAGCCAAACTGCTGCACACCGCCAGTGTCTGTTTGATAAATGGAATCTGCATGTGTGTTTTTTTCCACTTTGTATCAAATGAGCACGCTGTTATTTTCAGTGTTATTCTACTTATTTCAAAATTACATTTGACTTAGACGCAGAAACAGGGACAAGTGCTACCTCGCCCAGCTGGAGTTTATGCAAAAGTGAGCACTTGTTCAAATGTTCTCTTTGTGCAATGCAGTATACGTGTAGTTGGCGTGTTTTGCAGCCCTGTGGACAGTGACCTTTGGGCTGAAAGGACTTTAAGCAGCCTGTTAGAGCCATTTGAGCTCTTGAACTTATCCATCTTGTGGTTATAGCTTTCCTGGCTGATATAATATGCTTTGCTTTGTCACATGTTTCTGAAGCGGGCATAATCATTACTACAAACGCAGAACTCACACTCGGGTACCTACAATTCCATATGATTTTAACAATCTGTCACAACATGCCGACATGTAAAATAATCATAGGCCGATAAGCGTACACACATTCATGACCACAAAGCAACACACACTTCCTCATTAACAACATGAACACAGGCGTCACACGTGAGTTTGTGTAGTGAATGCGTCTGTTGTGTGGCAGTAGTGAGGTGTTGAGAGAGAAGAAAGAGGAGCGGTCTTCAAACACATCCACAAGCAGGTCGTTCTCCATTATGCCTTACCAGGGGCCATATTTGTTGATTCTCTGGCCCTAAAATCATTAATTTAAGTGCAGACGACGGTGAAGAAACCTGAGAATGGTGTCCAACACACATCCACAAATTCACACACAAGCATGTACATGCGCAGACACACATTTGGTCACACTTAAAGGCAAGCGGGTATATGTATATACACACACACACACACCATGTTGCATAACAAATGATGGCACTTTAATTGCTGTGCATGTTTATTTACTCCTGGCTGTAATGGATGGTCCTTCTCTGCCTGGTAGCCAATCAGAGGGAGACAGGAAGAGTGTGAGCAGCCCTGCAGAGCTTGACACTTTCCATACAATTTGACATTCCTCTTTATACACAACACACTAACCTAAGATGTTACCACTAAATACTTATAATCCCCTTACCTTCAAGATTTCGGCATCATTGCTCAGGTCAAATCATTTCCTTTAAAACATTTTCCTCAACTTTACCTGTGAATGTCTCTGGTCCCCGACAAACAAAGTTGGTATGAAAGTATCACCATGCCCCCTCTGAGTGACTGATGATAATGTATTCAGTGATTGGTAGTTAGTTTGTGGCCTGTTTGCTCAGCCAATGAGGCGCCCCCAGCGAGCTAGACATACATCATTGTTTCTTTTTTTCCCACAACCTTACCCTAAGAAAAGAAGTGAGTTGTTGCTGACTGCTGTGCAACCTGAATAACAGACACATTCCAAAAGACTTTTTTTTTTTATTAATGACCACTTGATGTTTGGGCTGCTGCCAACTACATTTAGAGCATTCTTAAGGGCCTCTGGGGGCTCACCAGACAGTTAGAGGAAGAAAATGGTCAACCTAAAGCAAAGAAAGAAACTAAATATCTACACTGGACCTGAGCATTTTTTGTCTATTACCAAGCAACGCAATCATATGATGTAACCTATTAGGAGAGAAACTTTAAAAACAACCTAAGATCCTTTGCTAGATGATGCATCTTTATATCCGTGGATTTGTATTTCCTTCCTTGTGGTTGACTTCTCATATTGATTGATTTTCTTCATGTTTTTTTTTTTCCACAGCTGCTTGTAGAGCCAGGTACCAAGAGGTTCGAGAGCTTCAACTACAAGCATACGCGCTGAACCGGCCTATAATTGCACACCATCATGATCACCTGACATACATATTAGCATACATATGTGGATAAGATCAGCGTTCAGCCGGTCAGAGATTATACCATCTTACCGATGAATGTCACCTCCGCTGACAAATGCAACGGCCGACTGAGGGTGGGTGAATATCCCTCACACGACCATCTGTCATCAGTGTGGAGCTACAAGGTATTGGCAAGCGGCCTTCATTTCCCTAGCTGTTTTCAATAGACTGTGAGCTAGATTCATTTTAAAGTACTGCGGTGCTACAGAGTTCTGGCTTCACATCAAGCGGCAATCACTCCACTCCACCGTCGACTACTGGTGTGGCTAAGCTGAGCCGGTGGAACTAGCCGTAAACCCATGCCAATCCTGGACTGGTTTATGATGGCATGAATGTGTTTACTTCTGCAGCTAAATATCAGACTTTTGTAAATATAACAACATGGACCTCAAAACCCACAATCCACAGAAACCTTCTCAATGTACCGTGCCAAAGGAGACAACCCTGTCTGCTGAAACAAATTACTGAAATGGGACTGCATCTGAATCATTCGGGCTACCCAGTAAACCGCCCTAGTTACCCACTTCCTGCTGAGAGATCAACAAGAAAAAGGCGAATTTGGACTGAGCAGTTTGAGGATCTGCTTACACCTTCTCTAAAATCAGGACCCATATTCACAGGGAAGGAGTCATGGCTGACCTCAAATCAGCCAGCTTACTGTAAGAACAGTCTGTTTATACATTTCTCCTTGTGTTCTTTTAGCCTGCTGTGCATTTGTTTAATGAACCAATATGTTGTGAGCTTTTCTACATCCGAAACAGTTTTGAGTGCCACTCTTCTTTTTTTGAAGTTTTAACAGCTGTGTGTGACTTATTATGCAATGAGTGATGTATTGTTTTGTTGTCTATTTGTTGATCCTGCGAATCTGAGTGGTGAGTCTGTTTATTATGAAGTGACTTGCATTTTGAAGCACTGCGTCATCACTTTTTTCACTGTGCTGGAGGTTGATGAGGACGGACAGTGTTGTGTTTTGATTCAACAGTATGACAGTGTTTCCATTTGGCCCTTACCTAACATGTACATTTTTGTACAGTGTGTTTGCATGCGTGTGTGGTTTCATGCTGCTCTCATGTTTGTGATGACTGTGAAAGTTTGGGGGATAACGGTATTCACCCTTGACTTGTTCCACAGTGTTTTGCAGTGGTCAGCTGGTTTCTCTTGTTTGAATAAAAGTTGTTTTCACAAGAACTGCAACATGGGTTTTATCAGGAAGACAATAATGTCTACATTGACATCGACAGTGTTGTTGGTGAATTTAAGTGCAACAATGGGTATTTTCACAAAATTAAAGTTTCACCGCCGCTAATGGCAACTACAACAATAGACTCTTGCACTGCCCAAGAAAGAACTCTCCCCAGTTTTCAAGGTCTACCAATTCTCTCTCTCTTTCTCTCTCTCATAAACTCAGCCAGATGTTGCCCAGTTTTCTTCCTAGGGGAACGTGGGGGGATGGAGGCGGAGGGGGGTTGATGGAGGCGGGAGGGGTAGTGAGGCATGGTGAGGGATCAGAAATGTGGCTGAGCATGTTTTAAGTGCTCTTTGACGCAGTCGCAGCCTCCAGCATCCACCACGGTAACATTAGCTGGGAACAGAACTCTTGCAAGATTTGCAGGCACTTCACACTCATTCTGCCACAGTTATTCACAGCCACATGAAGAGTACATTCTTAAAGGACATATACACTGTGGAAAAATGTGACAAAATGATGGCTCTCACAAAAGGAGTATGAGTTATTTAAAAACATTTTGGGGGCTGAAAAGAGCAATAATGTTATTACTGATCCTTTTTTGTTATTACAGACCATTTGAGGAGCTTAGAATTAAGTTTGTAATGTACAAATCTGTTTTGTGTTATATCCATATTTACATTTATATTCTTCCTTATTTTAAGCAAGGGTTGAGGGACTCATACTGTTTTGAATTAGGCCCATATCAGATATATAAGATTGACTGCACCTGACTAAGAAGATTGGTATCATAAAAATGTCTAAATTTATTTCTTTTCCTGTCTCTTGCCTTTATCACCTGAGGCAAGTCCTTATTTGGGCATGTAGCCAGATATTCAGGTGACCCCTTCCATTAATTTCAGCATTGTTTTACTGACTGTTATTCAATCTCTATTTCCTCAATCCAGGTGAAATTCTGTCCAGCGCAACTGAAAATAACACGGCTTTCACCTTTGAATGCCTTCAGTGTGCACGGACGAGCAATCTACAGTGACACAGGTGAAACTATTAAACACTTTGCCCTCTGACACTCATCGGGTTCATTGAAAAATATAGAGCTGTAAGCCGAGGGATTCCTGCAGCATGTTTTGAGATAATGTACCATAAAATAATAATTACCGTAATGACCGTAATGCTCACAGGCCTTCAGGTGATGAGAGCAGCCTGTATAAGCACATGATCTGGACCTGCTTGTCTTGATTTTACTGAGTGGCAACTCGATCTGCTGCCAGTGAAAATCCTAACTCTACTCTGGTATGGATAAGGTAATAGCCTCGGGTGCTTTATAAGTTTATTTTAGGTAATAGAGACGCTTGTTTTGTTACAGCCTGTTCCACCCTCTCTCTCTCTCTCTCTCTCTTTCTCTCTCTCTCTTTTACCTTCCATACAATGCCTTGCTCTTTGAAAGTTGGTGACTGGAAGGCGATTTGAGGAGAAATGTGAAGCGCATGCGCCATCTGAAGGTTTTGCGCTGCGCATCCATGCTGCAGTGTGCTAGTTTGTGAGAGGAGGCGACTGAAGCAGGTGAGAGAAAGAGAGAGAAGCAGAGAGGGAGGGATAGTCGCTGATACTTTTTCTGCACTACAGCACACACAGACACACACATACGGTGTGGGAGGACGACAGACTCGGAGCCTCAGCAAAGCCGCCGTTGTTCACACGCTGTGCTCTTCTCCTCCTCCTGGCACCGTGCGCACTCGCCAAGCCGCACTGTTTGGAGATAGTCCGCGCGGAAAGTTTTTTTTTTTTTGGAGCATACTGTCTGGAGCCGATTAATTGTGCCATCTGTTTTTTTTTTGAGAGGCGGGTGACTTACTTTTTTGCATGTGAAGACTTTTAAGTCGAGCAGTGGAATTGTCAAAGTCGTTTTTTGCACATAATGGAAGGTAAATTGACAAGTCGTTTGTGGCGAGGTTCACCGTGTGGATCTTTCGGCAGGTAAAACGCGCTATGACCTGGGCGTGTGAGCGGCTGGATTTTATGTTTATCACAATATTTTTCCTGTTTTTGGTTTGACATTGTCTAGATAAAATATTGGACATTTTTTTACTTGGATAGCGACTATTAAAGTAGGCCGCTTTCAATTAGAAGATAATCGACATCCGACGTTTCCGCCAGTGGGGTTGCCGTAGATGGTTTTATTTGTTAATAGTAACCACAAAGTCGTGCACAGATTCGTTAAATGAACTGATAATTCCCTTCCTTGAAAGGTCTTTGGACATTTTATGTATCCCGCTGCTTACTACAAGCCCTCTAAACGGTTTGGCGCACGGAGCGCATGTATTCAATGATTGTTGGGTGTCCGTGTTCACCAAAACACCAAACTGAAGAACTCATAGCCTTAGTGTTTCGCTTTCTTCACCCCAACCAAGCACTTTCCAAGAAATCCGGATAGAACGACAAGACGTGTCTACACTGCAGCAGAAAAGGACATCCTAAATCCACCTGGCCTGCTCTGGGATTATTGGTTTGATATCGTCTTCAGAAAGTGGATTACAACTTCTAACGGGCTGTGCTCCCTGGTGAGTAGCCTTTATAGGTCTTCGGGTTCACTCACTTTTCCATGCAGCCGCAGTTTATCTTTAAGAGTGGGAAATGCGTGCTTCAGTGGGACCTTTTTGGACTAATACTGGTTATTAGTTATGTGGACAAAAGTGCATGACAGATGTGAAGTGTGAAACATACTATCCCCTCACTGCATCGACTGTGACCAATAATATATCGAGGCCATGTTGGGCAAATTAGAAATTCAGCGAAAATGCACCAACCATTGTTTTTTAAAAACCATATAAATGCAGAATAATAGTCTGATTTCTGGTTCCATTGTTAACCGTTGTTTAAAGTGAGGCAATGTTCTTTGTGCTGCTTCTCCTCATCTAATCCTTGTACCTGGCTCCCTCTCCTGGTTTTTTCAAACAACGGAACAGGCAGGAAAAGACACATCATTTTGCGAGGTTAAATGCGTATAATATTTCACAAATTAGTCATTCAATTAGGGTACCATGCAGCTTGGGAAAAGATGACGTTTTTTTCGAATTGCTCCATGAATACTCTTTAACAAAAATAAAAAAAATATTTGTCACCATGCACATTATCCAAAGGCTTACAAATGCAGGCCATACCGTAAATGCAGTCACTTAAAAATAAGTCGTCGTTAAAATGTCCCACTCGTAGCACCCTAATGCTATTCCCTCCACATTTTCACAATACGTTGTTGCTAACATCATTCAATTACTATTATGTTTAATTGGCATGATATTTTAGATTGGTTGGCCAGAAAATAACAAAAGTCAGAAAAGACACATTTGACCAAAGGTGAAATAATTCAGGAACATTTTTTTTGTCGTTAAAAAAACAGAAGGCTCCGGGTCTTTTCTTAAACTCTTAGGTTTAATGTAAATCAGTTTAGTCCCATATGACTCTTAACATAGCCTAATGATCCATTGCAAAAGGAGCGCCCGATGTTTTATCATCCTGACGACGTTATTCTAATTTCTCTCTTCCGGCCCAATTTGATGCCACTTTTACCGACAAAAATCAGTAAGGTAGTCGTTAGTCATCCAGTAAAGTTCCAATGAATATTTCGCTCGGGTCAAATCGTTTCCCGGGGTCATGGATCGCAGGATTTACTCAGCATGCAGTGATGCCAAATAGCCGTCAAGATTGTATATTTTTAAATATCAATAATAAAGTATTGTATAGTGTTGAATAGTTGGAGCACTGAAATGAACTACGCAGTATTGGCCAACGAAATATTAGATAATTGCATGCACCTGTGGCATCATGACGGTATATTTAAATATGAATATGTGCAATAAAAAAAGGTGTATCACTCTAGCTGTGGAGGAGTTACTCCTAATTAAGTGTCCTGCTTGGCGCAAAATAATTAATTGTGAAACTAAATTATCTGTAAATAAATATATTTTAAAATTTGCTCGCAGACTTAACGAGTCCAATTAGTTACTTTAAAATCAGCATAAAACCGCCGCCCTCTGTGGATTATTGCTTTAATTTATGTGGAAGAACTTTAGGGAACATAACCTCATCAACTATTGCTGAAGCAGCGCACAAACTGAAAGCACATGCTTGTGTGTTTGTGTGTCAGCGCGCGCGTGCACGCGCTGGGTGAGTGATGGTGAACTTGGCTTTGCCTGTAATGAGTATTAAGCAGGCCCATGTCTCCGCGACTCGACCCTGGAAAATATCTCAGCGTGACAAATTAGAGCTGCTTGAGTCCCAAAATTCACACACGGCCCAACTGGATGGCTGGCACATGGGTTTAACTCGCACATTTAGAGGTACTTATTTAAACAGTTCCTTGCAGACAATTGACATGTTTAACTTTTTTAAATTCCTTGTAGTTTTCGTTAGGCAAAAAGCTGCACAGTATAACCAGGCCCAGGCCATCCGCCGCCGACGACGTGGCTCGTTTCAGCTTGACCTACAGTCAATTAATAAATATGAAAAATCATTTCAGTACAATTATTGACCGACATGATCGTTATTTGTCAAATTGTATATTTAATACAAAAAAAAAATCAAATGTCTTTTTTAATTTCCAAGTTTTGTACGGGCCTAAATATTCATGTTAACTCCCATTAAATGTGTTCAATTAACGAATTTTATTTTTCAAGAATGTTTCTTATTTACAGAACTGAACAATATTGAACCTTTTCACCAGGAACAAATAAAACCAGGCTTGCCATAGATGAAAATGAACCAGTATGAAATACAACAAAAATCACACAATGTGTTTTATTCTAAGCCCATGTTTGAGATCTTATTTTTTGAGTCGACCATCTTTGTATAAAAAATGCAGTAGTCATTGTTTTTGAAATTTGAGATAATTTAGGTGTGGCCCTTATGCCAACAATATGCAGGCTAAAATGGATTAAAAATAAAGTACACACACAGTCTGATTAGGCCTCTGTCTGTCTGTCTCTGCATTTGTGAGTCTCTTTCTCTGAGTAAAGTGAATTGTCAGGAATGTGTATAGCTGGGGTTTCATGATCATTGTGTCTTCTCAACCTGCATGTCTATCAGTATTGTGTGATTCACACTCAGACCTGCTGCCAAATGACTGCTTGACTGTGGCACCGATGGCCTTCAGGGCTCTCATCACACACACACACAACCATGGTGCTGTTTGCATGTAAAATAGAGAGTTGTGGATTGCATTCCCTAAATACATTTTGACATCAAAGACGGCTGTCTGTCTTTTTCTGTGTTATGCACAATAAAAAAAGGAAAGATCCAAGCAGGCAGACTGACGAGCATCCTTTTTCTCTGTCCTCCCTCAGATCAAACGGCAGTATGAACCTGAGGCTGGGCTGTCTGTGTCGGCCGGTTTGCTGGCCCTTTGGCAGCCTATTGGACTCCAGACACTGTGTCTTTGCCGTCACACTCCTCACACTCCTCATGCAGGTAGTGGTGGAGGCCAACTCATGGTGGTATGCATTTTCTTTCCATATATACTATATTTTGTGTGTCTTGAATTTGTGTGTGTGTCAGTGGAGATTGTCAGCTTTTCAAAGGGGATTTTCTTCTCTTTACATTTGTAAATGGGGTAGCCGAGTCTAAAAAGACATGAAAAAAGCCAAAGATTTAGTGTAATATAGATTTTTTGTTTTTTAACATTTTGTAAATGTTTATATTTATCTTTTACATAGTTTCTGAGTCAATTTTAGTCCTGTGTTTGAGAGTGTGTGTGTCTTGTGTGTGCGTGTTTGCTAAGTAAGCCTCCTCAGCTTCAGTTGCACCACATATGAAGTAACACAACATGCTGACTGTAGCACATTAGCTCTTCAGGAAGGACCTTTTTTCTCCCTTATTTTCTTTCTTCTCATATTGCCAAACCAAAATTATGAATATTATAGAAAACATAGAATGGTGTGGTTTATGAGTCGATGTCCAAATATGTACAAACACGAAAACTGTGTGACTGTACATGAGTGTGTGTGACTGTACATGAGTGTGTGTGACTGTACATGAGTGTGTGTGACTGTACATGAGTGTGTGTGACTGTACATGAGTGTGTGTGTGTGCGCTGCATTTGTGTATAGACACACATCCTACTGCCATTAGAAAAGCCTATATTTGAGCATGGTGCACTTAAACACACACACAGAGTACTTCAGATGGGGTAAAATACTGTTTACCAGTCAACATAGAGGCTCTGCTTACAGCAAATCACAACTCTTTACATCCTGTTGCTGTTTCTTAATTTGTGTCTAATTGTGCACTTGTGTATAATTGTGTATCCCAGCTTAAGTGCTTGTAGAGGAACATAACATGGAGCATTTACAGTAAACCCACACTTTCAGAGTAAGATTTGTCCTTACTTCCATTGAGCAGATCAAAGCCAGTGGTGACATCATGCGGTGAGTTAGTTATATGGAAATACAAGTTATAATTGAAACAATTCATTTGAAGAGGATTTATGCAGATAAACATATTTTAATGGGCTCAATTCAGTAGGCGACTACCGTAAAGTTAAAAAAATAAGTTGGATTTACCATCGGAGGAATCGCAGATCACCACAGACTTTTTGGAAAGCTGAGTTTGGAGCACAAATTATGTGTCTTTCAGTTTCCTCTTTGAGAGCACACACAGGTGTGAGTGATTTAGAGTGCCCAAGCAGCCTGCCTAAAGACTGTGTGTGTGCGTGTGTGCGCGTGCGTGTGTGTGAGAGACAGTCTGTGTATGTTAATTTTTTCTTTTTTCTTCTTCTGTGTGTTAATGTGTATATGTTGTGTGTATTCAGTGTGTGTTACGTTGCTGGCTGCTGACTTTCCCCAGTCGATCAGGTTACACTTGGGGCTAATTGTCTTTCTCTTAGGGCTCGGGGATGGGATGCTCTAATTGTCCTGTGGCCTGGAACCAGATGCTCATACTAGTGTTTATCCATGTCTCTCTCTTTTCCAGTCCATTTTATTTATTTTTCTTTCTCTAATACAAAATTGAAGGGAACTGTTTTAAAATGATTAGATTTGTTTTTCTTTTGTGATTTGAAAAAAGGTACATAACTTTCATAGCCAGTTATACACTTCTATATATTTTTTTGGCAAATGCTAGACACCTTTGCATCCTAAGGCCTTGGAAAACTTTTAAAATGAAAGAAACGTTCCTTTTTCACTCCTCGACTCTTCTTTTTCCTCGTTTGTCTATGCTTCCATTTTCATTTTCCATGTTCTTGGCCTGAAATAGCACATGAGTTAAAATCCAGTGTCATTAAGAGCTATGAGTTTATAGGGTGTATAAATGACTGCACCTCATTTCCCTGATTAATATAGCTGCACCCATGTGAAGGAGAAACTAATCAAGTGAAATGAGCTATTGATTTAGAATTTGGCCTGAAAACGTGCATACATTTGTGTTAAAATGGCAAATGAGTGAAAACAACTGCATTATGTGGCTCCCCTCATCCAGGTCTCTGGCTATGAACCCTTTACTGATCCCAGAGGCCTACATCATCGGTGCCCAGCCTCTGTGCAGCCAGCTGGTGGGCCTGTCACAGGGCCAGAAGAAGCTGTGCCAGCTTTACCAGGACCACATGCAGTACATCGGTGAAGGTGCCAAAACAGGCATCAGAGAGTGCCAGTACCAGTTCAGACATCGGCGCTGGAACTGCAGCACGGTGGACAACTCATCTGTTTTTGGACGGGTCATGCAAATAGGTAAGAAGTGGGCAACAATGTATAAAGAAAAAGCATATATTCTCAGAAACATATACCTGAACACATAGGAGCAGATTCAAACACCTGTGTTCACAAACAGTGTATATTCACCAGTGTTATCTTTCCTTTCTTTATTCTCTCTTGATCCTCTTTTGTGTGTTTAGGAAAGTGTGTGTGTGAAATATATGGGGCTGTTGATTCTCAGCAGCTGTGTGGAGGGAATAGTTGGTGGGTGAGGTTGCTGGATAAATCACATGTTGCTTTGGCCTGCTAAACCAGCTCCCGACATGGAGCAAGAGGGAGGCAGAGAATCTGCTTTTCCCCTGATGAATGGGAGACAATCTAATCTAGTTTAACACACACACACAGATGCACACGCTGTTGCTGCCCTGCATTCACAAGTAATGGGAGTGCAGTAAGTGTGTGCACCAATATATCACCTTGTCAGAGATTAAACTGTCTGTGTGTGTGTGTGTGTGTGTGTGTGTGTGTGTGTGTGTGTGTGTGTGTGCGTGCACTTACATGCAGTGTGCAGAGATCTCTTGTAGAAAGTTCAAGAGCTTAACAATCCTCTCTTCGTAATCCCAACTCTTGGATCCTGTCATTTAACATGGTTTGTTTTAGTTTTCTTTGGATGTGGGCCTTCACCTCAGGGACTAATGTAAAGGTGGTTTATCGTTTATTGATCATAACTATCCATCTGAATTTTATGAAGCTGTACAATGTCGGTTATGTGATCATAGTAGGGCCACAGCAAGCTTGACTGAATCGTTGCAAAAGTCAGCACTTGCGTTGCTCACATTTTGGGAACCTTTCAAATTAGTCTACAGTAACACTTGTAGAGGGGTCGGCATTTGGTTCATGTACTTTTTAACGGGTCAGTTCACCCAAAATTCTTTCATTTTTACCTTCGAAGATCACACATTTTTATACATTATGGGATATCCGTCTGTGAGATTTCTCCCCCCATCCCAATGCAATTAATGGGATAAATGGTGAATGGAATTTAGTTTGTGGTGCTCCCAGCTTTAAGAATAACCTTTTAATGGGCTCAACAGTGACTTGTCTTTCCAGTAATAATATTCCCATTACTCTAGACAATCCACAGAACACACTGTCAACAGTTTACTTGATGATTATTTTCATCTAGAAAGTAGTTTCACTGAAAACTGGTCACACAAGGTCTGTAGATGATCACAAGTAAGCAGGACATTGTTTTGGAAAGGGCCGTTGTCTGTGAACGTTTAATATTTAATGTGAGCACCAAAACCAAAATTTCTGTCACTTGCAGCATATATTGGGGCAGTGGGGAAAATGACAGAGATGAATATCTTAAAACCTCTGCACATACAACTGCCGATGTTTATATATACCACTAGAGGTAAATAGTAATGCTGTTTTTTTTAAAAATTTTTATTACATTTTTCAATGATTTTTTATATTTCGGTAAACCAACCCTTTAATGTGCTGTACTTGTTGTGAACATACCCCTACATGACATTGTGTGCGCACATATGTGTCTGTCTGCGTTTCTACGCTACTCTTGGTGAGTCTGTATCTCTGGCTCTGCTGACTCCCTCTCCACAGATCAGTCTTCATAGAATCCTCATCAGCAGCCGTTCTCCCATTCCTCTCCTCCCTCCCCGGCATTGCTCCCATCTCGGTCCACTCTGGGCCAAGTAAATATGTCCTCCCCTTTTATGGCTGTCCATCTGAAAGCCTGTCGTACTGTCTGTCTGTCTGCAGGCGGAGGACACTGCTGGTGATTTATAGCTGAGCTCCAGGGGGTGCTGGCGTGGTTGGGTGCAGACCCTCTCCACTGCCTGGCTTGGTTAGCTCCAGGGTGGGGTACAGGAGAAGGGAGGCAGCAGTTTGTCTGCTCACAGGTCCACTATTAGGCCAATATCCTTGGGGTGGATTAAACGTCGTACTAGACTAATAAATTCCCCACTCTTTCTGATCGCCACTGCCCCTGCCAGCGTTTCCCACCTGAATATCTTTCAGACTTTCCACAAGGTTTATTTATTCATCTTTTATCTTCTCTGTCATTGTCTTTTCCCGCCTTTTGTGGTATTAAGTGCATGCGTGTCTCCTTTTCCCTTTTGCTTGCTTTTTTTCTTCACTGTATTTTTCTTGACTTATCTCTTCAGTCGTCTTTTCTTTCTCCTCCCTCATCTCCCGTTCTCTGTCCATCTGTTATTGTCATTAGAGCGCACTCTCTAAAGGTTTGTCCCAGCAGGTATATGAGCTGTGCATTTTTATTTAGTAGCAGCCCTCGTCTTCAATGTCAACACACAGCCTAATAGTTTGGTCGGCTGTTTTTTTGTATGTTTCTTCTTTAGTTTATCTCGCTTAAGTTTCCTTTTCTAGCCTGTGGCTTTGTACAGAGGTAGTAATGGATTGGGGATAGCAAAAACTGCTTTTGTGTATTTTCCGTTATTAAGACTTCCTACATCTTATCTCTGTAGGAGAAATCTGAGGGTAGAAACGGTGGTAGTTAATGAGCAATGGCTCCAGGATCAGTCAATCATGTAAAGTAAAATAACTGTTGTCACTTTCAATTTGGGTGAAATGGCAGCTGCTTGTTAAGAAGCATCTCTGTCACTGGAGGGCGCCCTCTTCTCTCTGGCTGAAGCCCAATAACAGCAAACCAGATTCCACCGTCCAAGATGTTGGTGATGAGGAGCATGCAGCTCTTGGTTGAAGTGCTCTGTAATCCTGAATGTATGGTCAATGCTGTCATATGACATCACATCTCATAACGCTGTACAAATTCTTAAAGCAGAATGCTAGTGACACACATTTGGTATAAAATAAATATACATGCATAAAAAAAAAATGTAAGCACCGGATAGGTGTACCAAATGTTAAACATGTATTTCTCATTTACTCTGTTTCTTATTGTGTGAAATGTGACATGATGTTCCTGTTTGTGCATCTGCAGGCAGCCGAGAAACGGCATTCACCTATGCAATTAGCGCGGCGGGGGTGGTGAACGCGGTGAGTCGCGCCTGCAGAGAGGGTGAGCTCTCCAGCTGTGGGTGCAGCCGTGCTGCTCGCCCCAAAGACTTACCGCGAGACTGGCTGTGGGGCGGCTGCGGAGACAACCTCAACTACGGCTACAGATTCTCTAAGGAGTTTGTGGATGCACGTGAGAGGGAGAAGAGCTACCCTAAAGGCTCATATGAGAGCGCCCGGCTGATGATGAATATTCACAATAACGAGGCTGGAAGAAGGGTATGACACTGGGGTTATATGCACAGACACATATACACACACAAAGATCTTAAGATGTCACCAGATAAGAAGCAAGCAGACCGATATAAACTGCAGGCCCTAGCATGAGACCAACCAGGGATAGAAAGAGCAAGAGGAGTTTGAAGTGAGATAATCCAGGTCATTTAGATAGGTGTCTGCTGATCATCTGTGTAGCAGCTATGTCAGCGCTCCCCTCCTGAGGCGTTGATCTGTGGGGAGATGAAGGCAGCACTTGGGTTTTTTTCCCTCTCCAAACATCTTGAAACCACCTCAAAGGAAACTTTATGCTGTTGCCAGGCTGTTCTCTTTCAAGTAGGACAAATGAGTGGACAACATTTTATTCACTGCACTATTGACATGGACAGGATAATTTTGTCCTTTATGTGATGCCTTATGAGATCATGAGCAGTATATTGTGCAAATATTCATGCAGAGAGGTCAAATTAGATACATGAAGCATGTGTTGCTTGGACATTTGTCTGCAGTTTACCACATAAGAATAAATGGTTTTGCATGTTCTTCATCTGGTTATTAATCCATTTGTTTCTTTTCTCTTCCCTCCTTCAGACGGTGTCAGACCTTGCCAACGTGTCCTGCAAGTGCCACGGGGTATCAGGCTCCTGCAGTCTGAAGACTTGCTGGCTGCAGCTAGCTGACTTTCGCAAGGTGGGCGATGCACTGAAGGAGAAGTATGACAGCTCTGCTTCCATGAAGCTCAACTCGCGCGGAAAGCTGGTGCAGAAGTACACCAATTTCAATGCTCCCACAAGCCACGACCTGGTGTACATCGAGTCCAGTCCGGACTACTGCCTGAAGAACCAAAGCACAGGCTCCTTGGGCACGGTGGGGCGCCTTTGCAACAAGACCTCGGAAGGCATGGATGGGTGTGAGCTGATGTGCTGCGGCCGCGGTTACGACCAGTACAAGGCCCAGATAGTGGAGCGCTGCCACTGCAAGTTCCACTGGTGCTGCTACGTCAAGTGCAAGCGCTGCACCAAGATCGTAGACCAATTCGTCTGCAAGTGAGAAGAAGAGTGTTGCCTGGGTGTTTGCTTGCAGACGATGGGCAAACATCTGTCTGTATACGTGAGCAAAGGAGTTTGAACACAGAGAAAGAATGGAAGAAAAAAAACTATATAAATTATATTTATAGAGTTAAACAATTATGCCATTGCAAAAAGACTTTTTTCCAAAAATCGTATGTCTTCAGAAACTGAGAGTATCGTGAAATATTTATTTTGAGATTATGTTTTATTTTGGCCCAGTCATCACCAGTCGATTTTAACCCATTCAAGTGCCTAAAACTGGCTGGAAATCTCCCCTCACGTGACCCCCACCTTTTTTTTTTCATATCAGAGAATACAGTTCTTCTTGTCAGATGGGTCACACTGATTGTGAAATTGGATTGTGCTTCCAATTTCCTAAGAAGAGTAGTGTTTTGATATCTGTGGCATAGTTGACTAAGGGGTCCTGGTTTGTTGTTTGAGAATGACTGTGTTGAGAGGACAATGTGTGCTATAGTGTATGGATGTGATTTCATGGGCCCAGTCCCAAACCAGCCTTCACATCCTAACTAGTCTACTCGTCTCCTCTCACCACATGTAGAGTAAGGAACACTGTTGGTTTGTACGAGTCCTTGGAGTACAATAAGATGGCTGTTTTGGGGATTGGGCTATTTATTAAGCTCTCCCAGAAGCCTTAGAGTTCCCCAGGTGCTGCAACAACCCCTCCACCATTATGCACTTTGATACAGAGGCTTAAACCTGTCTGTGCGTGTCTGTTCAGCTGTTTTTTTTTTTTTGTTTTTTTTTTACAGTGCATCAGCAAATATATCAATATTATAGCCTACATTCTTTTCCATATTAATTCAGATTATCCATTTAACATTATTCTACAATACTTAATATGGTTTGAATATATATGGGCAATGTTGTGGTTACAGTGGTGAAATATCCCATGCTATGAGTATATAGTATGTCTATCCAACCAATCAGTAAACTGTATTTATTTTCTTTTACCAGATTCTCCTCTGAGCTTTAAACAGAAAAGCATCATCTCCATCATAGATCAACAGTCGAGAAATAAATCAATAGTGGAACATCCTCAAGTCACTGCTTATAGTCGCTTTTTAAAATTGTGTTCTCACTAATGTGGCTCCTCACTGTTTTTGTAAAGGGAAATGCACCTTATTGATTCAACACACAAATGATTTCTTCTCACTCATGTTCAGCTTTACTGTTAACACGCAAATAAATACACTTGTATATCACAGATGACGTTCAGATTTTTATCATCACTACAGATTTCCTGTACCACTCAGTTAACCGCTAACTATCCCTGTGATGATTCTCGATAGACAAACTATTTCTACCAATCCAAATATGTATATTTATAAGCTTCTCCATGAATTTGAGGTTTGTTAAACGTAATGTGTTATAGCTGATATTTTGTTACTTTTTACAAATTGGCTCAATGCTCTACTTTGTTTCAATAAATATCAAATGTAAAACCAGCAGAGAAGTATTTACTCACTATTTGTTAATTTGTTTGTCTATGCCAAATTTTTTTCATGACTAACCTTTTCCTTTCTACTTATAACTTACTAGACAAGTTTATCTACTTGAAAGTGTCTCTTTTAATAGAGACTTGATTCAATACGATCTAACTTTTCTTTTTCGCCTAAATCTTTTTAAAAAAGATTTTCAGGTTTTTTTTTTTTTGCTTCTAAATTCCTTCCTTCACTCCTCACCCATGGCCAGATTTAGCGACAGGACCCACGTTGGATGACGGCTGTTTTAGGCGTGTAGTGAACAAAGAGCTTTGGAAAGATGGCCTGAAGATTAGGTGTCTCTCAAGGGGGTTATTAAGGTTGTGTTGTAAGCGCCCCTCAACAATCCAATGACAGTGGATCAGTTTATAGAATGGTAAATCATGGTGTCAGGAGAATAGGAAAAGGGGGATTTTCAATGTGGGGGGAAGCGGGCTGTCTGGAAGACGACTGGGCTTTGTCAGAGACTGCTGGAGCTCAAGAGGAGACGCAGAGAACAGGAGAGAAGATTGGGTAATGAGAAACTAGGGATTACATGAGAGCTGGATGAGAGGGGAGTAATAAGGAAAGGGAGAGGCTCGAGGGAGCAGAGCAGAGAGAAATGCTTTACGGAAAGTAGAGCTGAAAGACCGCCATTACAGTGTAAACGGTCCTGACATTGACTGATATTTACATTTGGAAAATGATACTGACTTTAGGAGCACATCCTGTATATGATCCTGTCAATTGGCAACTGTGTGCCGGTGCACTTGTATTATGCATCCACTTGTACAAAATGTTTTACATCATATGTTTACATTTATGACTGGTGTCACGTAGGCCAATAAGGAAAAGCAGGAGAGAATGAAACAAGGTTAGCAAGGAGGGAGAAGGTGTAAAAAGCTTTTTGAAGAGATAAAGGAAAAAAAGACTCAAAGATGAGGAAGAACAGCAAGAGTTTTTTTTTTTTTTTTTTTTACACATTTGAACCTTCTGTCAACAGCAGGGTTTAGGATATGAAATCAACCTTCAACTTTTGTATTTACCTGAAGGTGAGATACTACTTGCACGTTCTAGACAAGCCTCCTTGGATGTCAGATTGAGTGACTGACTACATACCAGCAGGACTCTTCCAGCAATAGCATAAACAGAAATCCAGGTGCACAGCAGGCTGATTCACCAGGTAGAGGAAACCTGAAACCCTCAGGTGCACAGGTATGACACTCTCACAGGAAGAGGCTGGGACACTTCCAAAGGTTCAAACAAAATGCTTGGACATCTAATCTTGGCAGACCTTTCTCCACCTGCCCATTTCTCGACTCCCACCTACAGTTTGACAGATGATGCTGGCAACTGTGTAAATATTTCTGCACCATTTCTGCAGGTTTTGATTTAAGTTGTGATTTAGGTTTCGCACACACAATTAAGCATTCACCGCAATGGCAGTTAGTATATAGCTTCACAAATGCGCACCCACTTAGGGAAGGAGGTGCTTAGCAGATATTTTAAGCTGGTGTAAACCTTAGCATCTCTTTCTCATGCCTTCTCCACAATTTATCAAAGAAAAAAAGCTGCCAGTCTAAATGAGCTTTGCTCCAATTTACAAATGTTTTAATCTCTCCTACCCTTAGAAAACAAACAGTAACAAATGTTTTCAGAAATGTTTTTCCCAAAGATAACATTGATGGTTTCTTATTTTTATGTGTTGAAATATGCAAATACCTCAAGCATTTGTCGCACATTGAATACATTGTTGCATCTGTGTGCGTGCTTGTGTGTTTTTGTATTTATGAATGGACCAGGCTGGATAAAGACTGAGGTTCAACGGGCCTAGCAAGTGGTTTTACTCTATTCTTCTTCCACTGCATTAAATTCCTCTGAGGTTCTTTAGGACGATTACGTGACAGGTTGTGTTTTCCTAAAACATAGCTGGATGATATGAGGCAACCTCCCTCTGCTGAAGCCAGATCTGCTGACCACATCTTTGTAGATCCATACATATTTTGTTGATTCTGTTCCTGCAGTGGAAAAGGCTGAACTAATGTACTGTAACTGCAATAAACAAGGCTGCACATAATGATGTAATACATTTACACCACATTTTAGCATCCATGAAACAAAACCCCAGCTTGAACTCTGGCCTATTGACCCCCCTTGAATTCTGGTGCAAATGTTAGTAGTCTTACTCCTGTTTAAAACACCACATCAAACCATGACTCACCCTTAAGCTCTGTAAAACTGTCACTGCAGCAAACATCTACAATTGCAGAAAAACACAAACTCTATTGATCAGTTCTGGCCAGCTTTGTACTCTAAAGCCTCATAAAACAGAATACATAAGCTGTCAGGGCAACAGCTTTGGCAAAGCTCATCTTTCTAAGCTAAAGTGGAGCTTGTTCCATTCCCCTACTCTTACTGTAAAATGCTCAAAAAGCGACAACGGGGCCAAAAAAAGAGCGCTCTACAGAGCTGCATTTAGAGCTATTTGGGATTGTGGTCTTGTGTTTTAGAGAAAGAGGGCAGGACACCGCACTGTGACGTCGCAAACAGTCTGGACTGGATCAGAGAGACGGGTCGGTGCCACAGAGTTACCGGCTCCCCCTTCTCTCACTGCCAATTCTATCCCTGTGTCCCCCCCCCCCCAAGAAACCACTTGCACCACAAGTTGTTTCAATGGGGCACAACGCTGGCTGAAAATAGAAAGGTTATACATATAGGTCACAATTTCTCAATGTGCATGACTGAGGTGTTTGTTTGCGTGTGTGTGTGTGCGTGTCTGTGTGTTGGAGTGAGATGAAAATTACTACGAAGACAAATTAGTATCAGCTCAATTATTGCTCTCATACCAACAATGTTTATTCCAGAAGTGAAAATGTATACAAGGTTGCCATTGTTACCTAGTTAGGAATTAGCCAGACCTCCTATGGTAATGATTATTCAAGCTTTTTGTTGTTAATGCAGTTGCAAAGCAGAAGAATAGAGGATATCCAAGGAGATAATTGCAGTTGAAATGTAAACATAGTAGAATAGCGGTTGGTGTGTGTGTGTATATGTATCTGTGTGTGTGTGTGTGTGTGTGTGTGTGTGTGTGTGTGTGCAGCACTGGAAAAGCAAAGTATGCCGCGGTGCATCTTGCCTTATTGATCACAGATGTGGAAACATGATTCACCTTCATAGGACAGTAAAGGATTACAATTTGTTTCTCGGCTTAAATGGCATACATGAAGATTTTCTTTGTTTTGTTCGATTCTCGCTTTAATCAATTTTACAGAATAAAAAAAAAGCCACAATATGCCAATATAAGCGCCATAAATAGTAATTGCATGTATACTATGTATTAGTATGCCATAAAAAGGACATATAAAAAGTAATTGCACAGTATGTCATTAAGAGATCATAGTATAGTATGCCATTAAAAAAATGTCTTCGAATTATCATGCTATAGAGTAGGACAAAAAATGTCTAAAATAGTATGTCATGAAGTCATAAAGATAAGTCATAGCATAGTATGCAATACAAAATAGATCATAATACAGTACGTCATAATAATATCATTTTTAAAAGTTATTGTATAAAATGCCAGAAAAGTTTCATGAAAATGCCATTATGTCAGAAACAATTACATTAGATATCATCCCATAAACACGGCAAAGAAAGTCAAACCGTCATGAAATGTTTTTATAGCATCTAGTGTTGTAAAGTCGTCACTAAAGTATGGCACATGAAATTTCAGAAAAACGTCAATATATATATATATTACACCTGTCGTTTCAGGTCCTGCCACTCACACCCTATCATCACTCTATGGCACAATCCCAATGTCCCCCCTTACGGACTCACAGACTTTGAGGCGCGCTCCTGCGAAGTCCGTGAGGGTTTAGGGCCGTCCCACTGTCAAATCATCGAGTGTTTGAGGGCTCTCTTGCAGACATTTTGAGCCCTTTATGAACCCTTTCCGTAAGCCTAAACCTAAGGGAATTACCCTTAGGCTAAGGGAATTACCCACAAATCATTGCAATGTGACGTTAAACACGGGGCAACCAGTAGACGCATGGAGACATACAAAAAAAAGGTAAACAAAGAGGACGGCTCAGGTGTGTTCAGCCTGTCATATTCAATTTACTCAGAAACATCAAGAGTTAAAAATGGAACAAAAAATAAACATGAAATCAGAAGATATTTATATATTTATTCATCAAATATTAGATTTTGTCATTGAAGCTGTTTTGACAAAAACGAGTAAATAGATTATATAAAATTACCTCTCATCTTGTGAGGAAAGAGCCAGGAAGACTTTCAAATCAAGGAGTACAAAGTATACAATAAATACACACAATTATACATCATATTTTTTGTCGTTTTCATGGTAACATGATATGTTGCAGCAAAGTGCTGTCCCATTCCTATTTACACCATCTCAAGCCCTCACAGTCTCTCACACTCACCCACTTACCAGGTGACGTCAGTAAGTCCTTGAGGGTTCAGGGTTTGAGGGTTTAGGGGGGACATTGGGATTGGGCCATTCCCCTCACCTGGTCTTCCACGCCCATCTCACCTGTAGCCGAGTCCCTCATTAGTCCCTCACTGTTTAGGTCTGCTCACTTGCACTTGATCCCTGCCAAATCGTCTTGTGTTTCTCTGCCAATCTCTCCAGCGTTATCCTCGCACTATTCCTGATCTGCCTGTTCCGACCCTGCCTGCCTGTATTTCGACCTTGATTTCTTTGCCTGCCCCTTGTTGGATTTGTTTTGCCTTATTGACTGACCTGCCGGTTTTGACCCTGCCTGAACACAAGTAAACCAAACTATACTTGTACTCTGTCTCTGTGTCGTGCTTTTGGGTTCCCATACTTGTAATCTTTACAACCTAATAGCATTAAATAATGTATTATCATCATTCAATTTTTTTATATAACTACCTTGTTGGTAATTAAATAGAATCCTTGTCTGATTCACAGTGGAGTATTTACACTCTGATATTTGAT